AGCTGAGCATTACAACCAGCCAGCCAGGGGGACAGCTCAGCCTCCCTGGGCACCTACAGCAAGAGCAACCCTGCCACAACAGAAGGACACACGTAGCCCACACAGGGGTCACTACTGGAACATTTGGAACTGGTGATGAGAGGGAAGCACACTGCTGGGCCTCATAAGGCATCACTTATATGAGGTCACCTCTCCAAGATCAGGAGACATAGCTGACCTACCTAATACATAAACACAAGCACAGGGAAAGAGGCCAAATGAGGAAGCAAAAGAATATGTTCCAACTAAGAGAACAGGACAAAACCCCAGAAAAGGAACAAAATGAAACAGAAATGAGCAAACTACCCAACAGAGAATTCAAACAAAGAGTCATAAGGATGCTCACTGATCTTGGGAGAAGAATGGATGAACTCAGTGAGAATGTCAACAAAGAAATGGAAGATATAAAATAGAACCAATCCAAAATGAAGAATACAATACTGGAAATGAAAAATTCACTAGGACTTAAAAGCAGAGTAAAGGATACAGAAGAATGGATCAGCGAGCTGGACGAAAGACTAGAGGAAATCACCCAAGCAGAAGAGACAAAAGAGAAAAGAATTAAAAAGAGTGAGGACAGTCTAAGGGACCTCTGGGACAACATCAAGTGCACTAGCATCCATGTTATAGGTGTCCTAGAAGAAGAAGAGAGAGACAAAGGGGCAGAGAATCTATTTGAATAAATAATAGCTGAAAACTTCCCTAACCTAAGGAAGGAAACAGATATCCCGGTACAGGAAGCACAGAAGGCACCAAACAAGATGAACCCAAAGAGGCCCACACCAAGACACACCATAATTAAAGTGTCCAGAATTAAAGATAAAGAGAGAATCCTAAAAGCCTCAAGAGAAAGACAGTAAGTTACATACAAAGGACACCCCATACGGCTGTCAGCTGACTTCTCAGCAGAAACCTTACAGGCTAGAAGAGAGTGGCACACTATATTTAAAGCGCTAAAAGGAAAAAACCTACAGCCAAGAATACTCTACCCGGAAAGGTTATCATTCAAAATGGAAGGAGAGATAAAGAGTTTCCCAGACAAGCAAAAATTAAAGGAGTTTATCACCAAGAAAGCAGTCCTACAAGAAATGCTAACGGGACTTATTTAAGTGGGAAAGAGAAGACTACAAATAAGAAAAATTATCTATTTCCACAATAAGAGGGTAACAGATACAAATGCACAAAAAAGAGGTTAAATATAATATCAAAAACATAAAATGTGGGAGAAGGGGAGTAAAAGAATAGAGCTTTCAGATAGAGGTCAAACTAAAGAGACCATCAACTTAATATAGATTGCTATATATGTAGGTTACTATATATGAATCACATGGTAATCACAAACCAGAAACCTATAATAAATACACAAAAAACTAAGAGGAAGGAACCCAAACATAATACTAAAGAAAGCCATCAAACCACAAGAGAAGAGAGCAAGAGAAGAAGAAAGGAACAGAGAAGAACTACTAAAACACCAAGAAAAAAGGTAAAAAAATGGCAGACAGTACCTACTTATCAATAGCTACTTTAAATGTCAATGGACTAAACACTCCAATCAAAAGGCATAGAGTGGCTTATTGGATAAAAAAACAAGACCCATATACACACTTCAGACCTAAAGACACTCACAAACTGAAAGTGAAGAGATGGAAAAAGATACTCCATGCAAATGGCAAAGAAAAGAAAGCTGGGGTGGCAATACCCATATCAGACAGATAGACTTTAAAACAAAAGCTATAACAAGAGACAAAGAAGGACACTATATAATGATCAAGGGAACAATCCAACAAGAGGATATAACACTCGTAAATGTCTATGCACCCAACACAGGAGCACCTAAACATATAAAGCGATTATTAACAGACATAAAAGGAGAAATAGACAGTAACAAAATAATAGTAGGGGACTTTAACACTCCACTTACACCAACGGATAGATCATCCAAACAGAAGATCAATAAGGAAACACTGGCCTTAAACGACACACTAGAACAGATGGACCTAGTAAATATATACAGAACATTCCATCAAAAAACCAAAGAATACGCATTCTTTTCAAATGCACATGGAAAATTCTCCAGGATTGATCACATATTAGGCCACAAAACAAGTCTCCATAAATTTAAGAAGACTGAAATAACACCAAGCATCTCTTCTGAGCACAATGGTATGAAACTAGAAATCAACTATAGGAAGAAAATCAGAAAAGCCACAAATATCTGGAGATTAAACAAAATGCTATTGAACAATGACTGAGTCAATGAAGAAATCAAAGGAGAAATCAAAAAATACCAGGATACAAATGAAAATGAAAATATAACATGCCAGAATTTGTGATACAGCAAACGTGGTTCTAAGTGGGAAGTTTACAGCAATACAGGCCTATTTCAACAAACAAGAAAAATCTCAAATAAACCATCCAACAGTGCACCTAAAGGAACTGGAAAAAGAAGAACAAACAAAGCCCAAAATCAGTAGAAGAAGGGAAATAATAAAAATCGGAGCAGAAATAAATGAAATAGAGACCAAAAAAACAGCAGAAAAAATTAATGAAATCAAGAGCTGGTTCTTTGAAAAGAT